AAATCACATCATTTCATAACTGTAAAACTATGGAGAATCATGGCCTAGCCAAGCTAACACAGAGTCTTAGCGATTACAAACAGCATTACTTCCAATGTCTACCATGGGATCCGTTACTACCAAGTGTAGGGCATTCATGAGCAAATGAATCAGATAATAGATTTTGTAACTATTGTCATAAATGTGAGATGTCGTCACAGAGATAGTTGACAAATGAAAAGTAGGTGAAGACTTAAGCCATTCTATACAACTCTAGTTGACTCCCAATGCCTCAGAAACATATTAATGGACTAACCCAGATCAAAAAATGCCTCGATAAATTGCAATTCCAGCTGGCACCTCCTTGCAAAGAATGATTATACCAAATTCATGAAATTTGTACTATCTCTATTTCTCTTAAGCAAACATCAAAGGTTTTACACATTCATAATGTCAAATGTATCCAAATGTACATGTATTCTAATCAGCATTTTAAAATATATATTCATACTTCCTTTACAACTTACTTATGTATTTATCTTAGTGATTAGAGAACTATATTCTTACTTTATTTTTTTCTGTCATTATAAATAGCACAATTGAAATAATGTGACATATAATAAAATAGTCACATGGTTTTATGTGGTTGTGCTTTAAAAAAAGGAAAAGTAAGTATAGTGGTATAAAACCAAAAGAGAGAAGGGAACAATGACATGAAGCTAACAATATGGTCGTCCAAATTCCGCCACCATAAGCCCCCAAACTGATGGAGTCTTACGTATTTTAGAAGGATTAAAATGTCATGAGAAATATCCAGAAACAATAATCTCTTAACATTGATCACCATTTTACTCTTTTTAAATTATCTTTACATTTATTTTCATATTTGTCCTCCTTTAAAAGGAGCAAGAGGTCAAATTAATTTCAATTTACTTTTGCAGGTGAGGAAACTCAGGCTCAAAGACATAAACTGATTCAGCAGTAAACAACAGAAATAGGGGAAAGCCTGAATTTTTAAAAAAACTTATTTATTTTTATTTCCACTCCAGGGCCATTCAATGTAACCAATATGAAATAGGTGGTACCATGTGAAAATGCCTTTTGGACAAGTCAATAAGGGAGGAAGCTGGACATTTCAAGTGGCTTAATCCTGTTACGAATCATCATGTAAATATCTGAGATGCAGGATGTATTTTCATTGTTATAAATTGAACATCATTAAAGCATAGTGATTCACCGCAAAACAATATGTAACTCTATATTGTGAAATAGTTATTTCCAATGACAAATAAATGAAATTTTGTCTTGAAGCGTGGTGTGGCATGGGTAACAGCCTTCACGCCAGGTTCTCGTATGTGGGCATATCTGCGTGTGGGAAGACCCGCCCGGAGACAGATAGAGGAGCGGTGTCTTGGTTCCTAAGACCATCGGAAACATGTTTTTCCCAATGGTCTTAGGTGACCCCTGTGAAAGGTCGTTCAACCCCAAAGAGGTTGCAAACCACAGGTTGAGAACTGCTGTCCTAAGCCAACAGGGTCAATGTAAAGTAGCCTCTGCTGACATAGTAATTAAGAAGAGGAAAGAGATTAATAGAGAAGTGGAAAAGATCTCCTAGAAATTCACAGGGGAAGAACATTATAAAAAGAAATTAAAGTTCTAACAAAGAATATATTGAACAGCATATAGTACTTTCTAGAGGGAAAAAATACTACAATAAATATTTAGTTACATAGCATAACAATTAACTAGTTGTTCATTTATCTGTTTCCCCAGCTGAGACCAGGAGGGCAGGAACCTTAGTTTTTTTCTCATTGTTTGCTAAATGTTCATGTAGGTTGCTCATAATAGGTGCTCAAAATTTATTAAAGGAATAAATGAATGAGTACATGAATGAATGAATAAATAAATAGCATCTGTGGAAATAAACTAAATGCTGAAAAAATCATACCAAATAGATACATGTAGCACAAATGCCTTAAATACAGTACAATGCATGGCATGTGCCCATTATATTATTTTTAAAATCTATAGTTGTATTTTACAAAGAAAAAAAAAACTTTTATTTTGAGCCAGGAGCCCTAATGGCATAGAGGTTACACATTGGGCTGCTAGCTAGCCAGAAGGTGAGCAGTTGAAAACCAGCAGCCACTCTGTGAGGGAAAGATAAAGCTTTCTAATCCCGTCAAGAGTTACAGCCTCAGAAACTCACAGGGGCGATGCTACCCCATCCTGTAACGTTGCCATGGTCACCATTGACTTGATGGCAGGGAGCTTCATTTGGTTGATTGGAGCGCAATGAAACCTCACTGAGTTTCAATTTCCCCATCAACAACAACAACAAAACAAAATAGCACAATAATGCTCAACCGAATATATAAAATGTACAGGAGGAGTGATTTGGTCTGAAAGGAAGAAAAGACAAAGAGGTGGGCATAATTTAATGCGCTTCTGTTGTTTTGACATACAGACCAATAAAATTGAGCTACTTGTCATCCAGGTCATGCGTAATCAAAGGCCAGCAAAAAGGGCCAAAGTCAAGCCGTTTGGGTTGGCATCACATGGATGATGTGGAGGGCCCACCTGGGGAGTTGGTGCCTTGCAGCTATTCTAAATGGCATCTTTGAGTAAAGTCATCGAAGTTGCCACATTTAGAGCTTTGTTCAGAAATACAGGAGTCTCCAGCTACACGTCAACCAACACTCACAATGTAACTAGTTCAAAGGGAGATAACGGACACTCACAATGTAACTAGTTCAAAGGGAGATAAAGAACACTCACAATGTGTCTAGTTCAAAGGGAGATAATGAACACTCACAATGTAACTAGTTCAAAGGGAGATAACGAACACTCACAATGTAACTAGTTCAAAGGGAGATGTGCTAGAAAGTATAAAAGACATGCCGATTTCAAAGATTTGACACACAAAAAGAAAGAAAATACCCTGACAATTTTTATATTGATGATATATTAAAATGGTACTGTTTTATATATATTTTATTAAATAAAACACTTTTAAAACATTTCCCCCCCACCTTTTCTTTTTTATTACATATTGCTACCAGAAGATATTAAATTGTTTGTATGTTTGCCTTATATCTGTTTGCACAATGCTATTCTAGATACTCTCATTTCAACTGCTAGAAAGTAGTCCTAATACATTTAAAACCTACTGATGTTCAACTGCATAACCATATGCATCTGATCTGATGATGAAGACTATCAGGTGGGCCCAGGTGCTCTGGTGGCTCTGTGGGTTAGGTGTTGGCCTGTTCACCGCAAAGTTGTTGGGTCAAAGCCACCAACAGTCTGGCCAAAGAAAGATAGGCTTTTTTGCTCCTGTAAACTTAGTCTTTGAAACCCGAGGAGGCAATTCTCCTCTGTCCTATAGGGTCACTATCAATCAGAATTGATTTGCTAGCAGTGGGAGGGGGATGTGGCTCCAAGCCCTATTATGCTTACTTTGGTTCTTGATAAAGCTGCGGATTATAGCACCTCGAAAATGTAGATTAACATTTGTTATCTGATATTCCACGCGTGTTCTGTATGTTTTATATATACAACCTAAGTTTGTCTTTATAACCATCCTGTTAGATATCAAGAAGAACACAGAAGGGTTGAGAAATCTATCCAAGGTCATTTAGTATGAGGCAGAGCTCGAATTAGAATCCACCAAAGACTTAAGGGCTCTTAGTCTTCACCACTGAGGTAGACTCCCCATGTGGAATTACTAAAAGAGTTGAGTAATTGGACAAAAAGGATTCTTCCCCAGTGACCATGGAGACGAGAGAATCAACACAGAAAAGATTGTCATAATGCCTTAGTGATGTAAACGACACTTGTGATATTAGTCCAGCTTAATAAATGTGGTCAAAGAATGAGACATTTTGAAATGTGATCATGATTTTCAATCTTTTATATTTGGAATCTCAGATTCTATTTCCACAGGTGGATAAATGTTTTGTATATGTGGACCCTGTTTAGGTGTTTTCCACCTCCGGAAGAGTATAAAACTATAAACAACCATTTTCATCAAAGTAACCAGCAAGTCCAGCGAGAACAGAACACAAAGCTTGCCACAGACTCTTGCAGGGAGCTCCTGCTTAGTCACTATGTGCCTTATCTCTTCTCGCTCCTCAGGCAGAAGGCATTCTCTGGAAGGAGGCAAAGGACTGACGCGTATGTGCACGATCAAAGACAAGGATGAGGGACATTACCTGGGATGTTTTCACTCTTCTTCCCAACAAACTGAGAACATTGGCTAAAGGAGAGATTATTCTCAACCCCAAAGGACTCTGCTAAGGTTTCTGCAGCAGCTTTAAGCGGAGGATTATAAGAAGATTTCAAGCAGGGGAAATCAACTGCAGCTGCTCCATTGGTTCCACAATAAAATCCTTTCCCATGTTCTAATGAATCCTTTCCCAAGACAAACCATTGATTAGACAGCTGATCACGACCATCTAATTGGGGGCATCTATCTATCTATCTATTTATTTATTTATTTATTATCTATCTACCTATTTATTTGTTCTGAAGTGTATACCTGAAATTTTTTGCATGAGTTATTATTATGACTTAAAAATCAACAAAGTACAACGGATTGTGCTTCTTGCATTGATTCGGCAACTCTGCCCAGGGAAAGTGGGGTCAGCAGCTGTGTCACTACCTTATTGGCCACATTGATTTGAGAACAAAAAGGCATGCTTTGTTCTCACCTTGGAGAACAAAAAGGCATGCTTTTTAATATACTTAGGCAGATAGGCATGCAACCATAAGTCTGGCCCAGCAAGGTGACCCCAGGCCTGTGCTTATGTTCAACTCTTTTGTTTTGAGGATGTAATTGCCTGGCAGTACAGTGCGTATGAAAGTTGTATGTCATTTCTTACAGATGCTGCAGCCTGGAGACATAAAACAGCAACAAAATTACATTCAATCCTCAAATTAATTCCCTCATTTGATTCTAGAAATTATTTGCATGCTTCTCAAGAGATAAATGAAACTTACGCTTTGAGGACAACCAGAAAGCTGTATCCAATGCACATAATGCCAACCAGAAAATAGGAGAGGGGCAACCTGAAACTCATCCATCCAATGGTTCGTCGGTTGTCATAGTAGCC